CTCAACTTTCTTCCCTGTTTCACCATTGTTGAAGACGAATTGCAAAAATCTCGTTGATCAGAAGAGAAGACTTTAGCGAGTGATGTAGAAGCTTCCAACGACAACAAAAAAGAAGACCTGAGCTCGATTCAGCAAACAAACGGTGAATTTGGTAGATTTGTGAAAGAATTTCAAAGAGAAACGAACGAAATCAGAGAGATGAGCAGAGATTGCTCTGATACCATCTTAGAATAACAGAATCCATGAAAATAAATAAAGTGATTTCTGTATTCTTTCTAAAAGGGATTGTTCGATACATAAGAGATTATATACATTCGGTATAACTAAACTCTATAACCGGAACCAACTCCTATACAAGTAAACCGGTCTAAACCAAGTATATACATTTGATAGAAATAGAGAATCAACCGAAGATTGAATACAATTCCAAGTTATTAAAATTCCAAGCACTGTGTATTTGAATCGTTTTACTAACAAGTAAGCTTTAAGCCAAATAGCTGGATAATTCGAAGCAGTGCTGAGATTCTACCTTGACGCGATTACGGAAAGACTCTAATTCAGCTGCAATAGCGGATTCAGAGTCTCAGCCATCACCGCCAGGATCGGTTTTCCCGCCGGATATAATCATTATATCTGCGGCGGTATTATGACAGCGATTAACCTTCGAAATCGACCGGGACTGGACGACGGTTGAAAAAGTGTTCGACGATCGTAATCGGTGTGGTGTCTGTTGAGATGAAACGGCTGAAGGCGGCCGAGAGGGGACTGGAGATTCCGGTGGATCGCGAGATCGGGACGAAAGGCATAATAGAGCTATCTCCACCGTTTTGATTTCAGAATGTTTTCATTGGGGAATCTGTTGAAAACGTCAGGCAGTAACGAAAAACAAAAATGAAAAGGGATATAAGTGAAGAAGAGAAAAAGAATGCGAATCAAACTTACGAGCAGATTTGCTAGGGATTACCGAATTTAAGAGACTATGAAGTTGGAACGGTAGAATGTTAAAAGTTTTGTTAAAAACTAGAGAGAAGAAATACAGAAGTCAGTAGTTTTTATTATAAAAATAATATTTAAAAGAATTCATTTATTTTGTGTAGTACGAAAAAAGAAATAAAAAACAGAATAAAAAAATGTTGAGGTGTCATTGAAGGGGTGCTGACGTGTCACCTTCTGATGAGACATAATTTAATTTTTATATAATAGACTAGGTTTTTAACTCACGCGTAGCGCGAATCTGTATTAATAATTTGGTTTATTTTTTTGGCTAATATCTTTTAAATTATCAAAACTATATTATATTTATAGAAATTTAAAATATAAGATGTAGTATTTCCTATTTTTGTTTATAAGATTATAAATCTTATTAAGTAAAATAGTAGTAATGATACCTAACGAATTATCCAACTTCGATGTGCATATGTTTGATTTAGAAAATGATTTCCTTACTAAATTTTTGGTGTTTTGTTTTGTATTCTTAAGATTTCTATGGTTCTTTTTAAAAAAAATTATATGTATTTAGTTTCTTTACTAAATGTCTCACTAATGTTGTGTACATATACATATATAATATATGATATATATTTATTCAAATTTACTTTTGTTAGTAAGCTACACTAATCGTGTAAAACTGCTTTTTGCTTCTCCACCAGATCTTCTACGAATTTTAGGTTATATCTCTATTCAGTTTATAAGATTTGTTTTATTTGCAGTCAACTATTTGCTAATATTTGTTTTTAAACATGTAAGATAATGTTGAGACTTCACATTATCACTGTTTTTTTTATCTTCTGTGTGTTTATTTATGTTTTGATTTGAATATTTTATCTTCATATATTTCCATTTGAATTTGATTCATAACTTTGTCATATTATATTATTTAAATAAAATTTTAAAGGATGTTGCTCATGTGTTGTTCATGTTGACTAAGTTATAAACAGTAAATATGTATACAAATCAGACTTTATTACTTATTATATTTTGCATGTAAAGTTACTTGTGTAGTATTTTACTTGTTAATTTTTCAACCAGATGCAACCAAAGTATTAATCTTTGTAAATTTAAATAATATGTTTGATTTAGAAACTTGTATAACCTATTAAAACTTTATATGGTTATTCATAGTCAACACCAATATTTTAGAAACCATGAATGTTTTTGGAACTATATTTCAAACTAATTTTTCTTCTTAGATCTTGTTTCTTGTTATTTTAAATATATTCGATGGTAATTTTATATTTTATTTTAATTATCTAATTTTCTACAGTTTTGATATACTTGAAACATATATATTTTAACTAATCTCCTTTGTTATTAATTTTTCAAATAGGTAGCATATATATTAATATAATATATTTTACATAAATGCTTTTTCTTTATTAAATTTACTTTTTAAATTAATTAAAATGCTATTTTGACATGCTATAACTGGTTATTATAAATTTTAAAGTGAACTTCTTTCAAAAGCTTATACCATTATTTTCTTTTTTTAGTTAATATTTGTTTGGTACTTAGCCTAAATATCAAGCTAATTTTACTTTATACGACTTTTTCTTTTGATAATTTACCTCTCTTGATATTGATTTTTATTTTATTTTAACACCCCATTGTTTTTAAAATATTGATATTTTGAAGACATAAATTTTTTGTTAGTTAAATATTTTTATATGAATTTTTTAAATAGTTAGTTAGATATCAAGTCAATATATTTTTAAGTTTTAAAAAAAAAAAATATTTTGTAAAACTTAATTTTCGTTTTAATTTTTTAGTTAATTAATTTCTTAATATTGATTTCTTAAATAATTAGCTTAAATATTTATATTATTTTTTTTAGTTAAAATTTTTAGTATTATTTAAGTTTTTTATTCTCTTACTTATTCTGTTTGTATTAATTTTGTAATAAATAACATAGATATTAAGTAAATATCCTCTTTTTTGTTAATTTAACTTTCTCGATATGGACTTTTATTTTAATTGTATTGACATATTGTAAGAAATAATTTATGTTTTGGTTTTTGTTGGTTAAACAATTTTTTATATTGCTTTCTTCAGTAATTAGCATAAAGTATCATTTTTGGTATGTTAAGATTTTTGTGTTAATGTTTTAAATATTTCCCAAAAAATTATAAGTTTTAGATGACTTTCTTTTTTGATAATTTAAGATGAATGTTTTTTTGGTAGTATTGATATTTTTAAATAACAATTTTATATGTTTATATGAAAATTTAATCTTAATATTTTTTCTAAATAAATTACTCATTTAAAATATATATGCTAGATTTTTTTTAAAATTTAACTTTTTCGTTATTGATTTACATATTTGTTTTTGTTAGTTTAGTTTTTGTGACAATGAGTTTCTATTTTATTTTCACTTGTGATAAATTTATATTTTTGTATGTTTTAATTTATTTAAATTATTAATAATATTTTTATTTTTTATGTTTAATAAAAAACGCTGATATAAATTAATCAGATTGAGTATATATGACCTATGTGGACGTTCTCATTGGCCTAAGACATCAACACGGACCACAACTAATATATTTTAAGTTAACAGTTCAGATTTTAATTGTTTGTCATGATTAAAATATTAAAATAATTTAATTATGATTTTTAAATATAATTTTTAATAATTTAAAACATGCATGTGCATTAAATCACTTAAGCTATTTCGATATTACTTAAACATAGTAGAAAAAACAGGAAACCACAACCTATAGTGTTTTTTTTCATCAACTTCTATTTAACCAAAAACAAAAATTTCATCAATATTTTCCCAACCAATAATTTTCAATTCTTGTAACCAATGAATTTAAAATTGACGAAATATATCAATAACAAATTTATGAAAAAATATATACACAAAACAATAAAAATAAGTAAGCACAGAAATATTTAAAAAAATAAGTATACACATCAACTCAAAAAATATTGAAATTATTGAAATATATTTTAGTAGAAAATTCTGTGTGAAATATATTTATAGGTTTAAATAGTTAACAAATTGAAAATATATAATTATCACCTAGTTTGAATAAAAGTTACATTAAAAATTGTAACGACATTTAATTTTTTTTTTTCGATTAGATTTAACTAAGCAAGAACTAAAGTACAAAGAGTATTACATTTTTGTTTTTAAAGAAAATCTAAAATGACATCTTAAGAATTTCTTGTCATTAGTTTAATTTAATGCGATTCAGTGACCCCCATGATCCATAAGGCTTACCTGTTCAGAAAACGACATTGGTCTCTAAACACAGCTGAAACACCGACCGACATAATTTTCTTGGATCTCAAAGACTCTGAAGGAGTAAATCCCACTTTTTTCGGTTTGTAATTGATTGAGATGTTTCTGTTTTAGGCGTACTGAAATACATTCTTCCACTTGTTAGGAATTCGTTTAGACTGGTTTTGAGTTTATATGGAATGTGCAAAAGAAATTACGGATTCCGCTGTGCTGGATTTAGAGTTCCTTTTTTATTTCTGGAAATTGTTGTTCGTTTTGTTTCTTTCATTGTAAATAGATGTAAGAGCCATCAAGCTAGGTGGGGAAGAAAAATTGAAACTTTGGAAAAAAATTCTTAAATTGGTTTGTGGAATTGATACGTTGTGATGTTACATACTTGTGGAGATCTGTGAGGTTAAGTGAACGAGATGTGGTATGTTTGGGATGAAGAAGAAAAAGGTTGTGTTCTGATTGAATCAGTTGGGTAGTGAAGTTTTGAAGAGTTCAGTTGAAGATTAGCTCTAAATTGGTCTAGTATAGCTTCTGTTATGTCTAAATCGAGCTATAGTTTATGTAATGTCTCAACAAAGTTGCCCTTTGTTTCTGATTTATGTGATTCTGATTGTAGTTTCCGTTAGTTAAGTAGATGGAATAAGTGAATAGAAAAGCTTTGTGCTTTTAACAGGTTCATGCTTGTCATGCAGCAAGAAAAAGAAGAGGTTTAGTACACAATTATTACAAAAATCGAAGTCTGTTTTGTGTATCTTAGAACAAGGAGATGATGCGGTACAGAGAGGTATCACTTTACATCCTGTCTGAAAGAGAGAAAGAAAACAAAATCTAAAATGTTATTTCACTTAAATTTAAAGTCTGTTTTTTATTTCTCTTTCCCTTTTCACTGGATCTGGTGATGCCCAAACTGCCCATTTATCTGTTACTTTCTTTTAGATTTTGAATTTTCTGGGTCTGTCTGAATCAGGAGAAAGAAGCCAAGAAAGAAGCTTTCAGGAAGTATTTAGAGTCCAGCGGAGTTCTTGATTCTCTCACAAAAGGTATAGATTCTTTTAATATAATGTAGCATTACTTAATCTATTGAAAGTTGCAACAGTATTTTGATTGAAATTTCTGATATGTTCTGACTAATAACTCGCTTAATACTTTTTGTATGTTCTGCAACTCGATGGTGGGGTTTTAATGTAGTTCTGGTTGCTTTGTATGAGAAGAATGATAAGCCTTCCTCTGCTCTAGAGTAAGTTTCTGGACACATATTTAGATCTTAACTTGTTAATCATTAGTCTCTAACAGATATCATAGATTCTCTGCATAAATATGTCTTATCACGGGTTCTTGCCGGGCTTAATCACATGTGTGGCTCATCTTCTTCTAACGAAGTCAGATCTTTTAACATGCCATAACCTTTATAGAATTGACTTATAATCTTGAATCCAGGGACTGGTGAAGTTAACGGAAATAAGCAATTCTTTGACCATTTTTAATCCTAGGCTTTTGAGCTTGTGTGAAGTAAATCCTAACAAGAAGTAGACCAAAGAGTATAAGTTTTCTCATCGGTTTCATAATTCCAACTTTGGCTAAGAATATTGATGGATAATTAATATTTTGGTTGGATTTGACATATGCAGATCACAGTTTCAGGAATTTATATTATAACTTTCTTAACAAAATTTGTCTATTTTTCTGTGATTTCTTCAGATTTATTCAACAAAAGCTAGGTGGTCCTTCAGTCTCTGAGTATGAGAAGCTTCAAGCTGAGAAGTCTGATCTTCAGATAAAGTACAATGAGCTTTTGGGCAAGCATAAAGAAACTCTAAGAGAGGTAAACTTGAATTGAAAACCAGATCTACTCGCACATATGTTCAGGCTTTTGTATTTCCTTTAATGTTGGCACTTGCAATAGCTTTTTGACTCATAAAGTGTTTTAATGTGTTTAGCATATTGTATGTATGGTTAATGTTGCAGCTAGATGAAGTGAAGAGCCTGCATTCAAGAAACTCTTCAAAAGATGATGCAGACAGAGAGGCCATTGAAGACGAACACAGGAACATTGTGATTCCACACCACTAAATTGTATATGTAATTCCGATTGCTACATTATATCTCCATTAGTGTTATTCTGAGTGTTGTTTTGGTTATACGCATTTTAGGCAGCAAAAGGAAAGAAAAAAAAAACAAAACAAAACCATGCATATATGAGTTTTTCAGTTCAAAGATATGGCAGCAATAAGCATATAGTTTTTAGACTGATCTAATCCGTTGTACTGTTTTCTGTTTTTTTCATTCAGTAAAGAGATCTGCTTTGGCTTTCTTAACAACTTTTCAATATTCATTAGCATTAGCAGGGGCGGACGCTGGAAATAATTTTATATAGGACATAATTTATTCAAATACTAAATATGAATAACTAATATATATTATAATCATAGAAATATATTAAACATATTATTAGAGTTTAATATTTTATTTTTTGAAATTTTAATTTTGAATTAAACTAAAAAATTTAACATAATAATTGTTTTTTAGTAAAATAATATTTTTGTTTTTAAGATTATTTTATATATATATATTAAAAAAATAATTAAATAGGTATAAAAAATTATAAATCTAACTAAAATGGTCAATTATGAAAACACTATAAATCACCTGAGGAATGACCGAATGAAGATAAATGTTTTCTTGTGGGGAAATAAAGTAAAAAAAAATAAAAAAATAAAAAGTATAAGGATCAAACGCTGGTGGAGAAAGATAATAGTGCACCATAAAAATTAACTCATCTGTATCATTTTAATTATTCATTATAACAAACAATCTTAAATATTTACTGTGGGGCACGTGCCCCAATATTTATAACGTGGGTCTGCCCTTGTTCATTAGCTCTTTCTGATCAGAGTTTCAAACTTTTATTATATCAAGAAGGTCTGAGATTTTATGATGATGGTAAAATGACGGTTAAAGAGTTTTTACAAAAGATCATTCACATTTGGCCATTAATTCCTTTAGCTACATCTGCTCTTTTGATTTTACAAATATTTGGCTAAGATGTTTGCAAATATTCTAGTTTATTTTTGAGACCAATAAAGACCTTAGTGTAGGACGGGCTCTATATAAAACTGATAAGATCTATCAAGCTTACAATGGTAGAAAGCAGAGGAATTCGACTAAGAAAAAGCAAGTCAAAACAAGTTTAAAAAGTTGGTCAACAGCAAGCTGGTAGATGAGTCAGCAATGTGATGAGGACACGGACTGTTTGACCGTACCGGGTCGAGAGGATGACGGTAGCAACCACCAGCAGTCCGTACCGGTACGAAGAGAGCCGGACTCAAACACCATACCATCCGTACATGGCTCTCCCATGACGCGTTCTAAGACCAGGAGGTTGAGAGAGGGGTTTAACGAGGCAATACAAACACTTTTGACCAACATGGACGTGGAGAACATACTTAGCCCCCAACCATTCTCCATTGCACCCGAACTAGACATTACCGAGGACTTTGTCAAGATGAGCCTCAAAGACGACCGTACTAGCATAAACCAAGGTATGAATGTTTGTTTGACAGGAAATGACGTTCATAACATCAACAAACCCACCAAGACTGTACCAAAGCCGCGAGCCACACCAAGTACAAGTATAGAAGCCGATAGAGCATCATTGGAGCAAGAAGATGAATCAAGCTCCGAACGTGGAGAACCTCATGAAGACACGTACCAGCTCGACTTCTACACTCATCAGTACGAAGAGAACGTTGAGAAACTCGCCCTAACAGCACCAGAACAAGCAACATTCACCAACGTACCAAACAAGCATCTAGCGCGCCAAAACCAGGTATTTTCAATTTATACGATTTGTGCAGGTACTGAGGCTTGCCTCAATGGTTTTTAAGCATCCCAACACGCCAAGGAATCACCAGTTCGAGCCACAAGAGATTCGGTTAAGTTTAGCTTTTATTTTCTTTTTAGTTAAGTGAACTTTCCATTTTCATGTATTTTTGCCTTATGCGTTTTGTAGCTTTTCCTTTGCTTTGTGTTGTCGTTTCTTTACTTTTATTTCGGCCTTAGGGCTAGCTGACGAGCTGTTTATAAAGCTCCCCTGCAGCATTGTATGATTTTTACCCTACATTATCAATAAAGACTGAACTTTCTTCCGAAAGCAATAGCCGCCGCTTTGCCTTTGTTCTTACTTTGTTCTTGTTCGTGTGATTCGTACAAGACTAAGTGCTTGCTGTATCAGAGAGCCATCCATTCTCTTTGTGGTGCCATCAATCCACTTCATTACTCCATTCATTCGATCCCTCAAGAGAGAGCGTCATAGCCAGCTTGACAGATCCCATCTCGGCTCAAGGAGTGACCATCACGCCTTGTTCTATCATTCTCACCCCTTTGCCAACACAAGAGAGCGTCAAAGCCAGTATGTTGTCTCCACCAAGCCACCAACTCTGATCACCGTAATACTCCCAACCGAGTATTACATCATCTGGTATCAGAGCCGATGATTCTATCTTCGGTTTTCGTATCCTTTACCTTTTATAGATCCGTTCCTAGTTGCACTTGTTTTCATTGTGTTTGGTTTCTTTGCTTATCCTTTATTAAGAAAAAAAAAACCCATAAGAATCGTTTACTTGTCTTGCTTAGCTTCGTGTTTTAAGTCTTATAAAAAGAAAAACCCAAAAGAATAGATCCGTTTTGCTTGTTTCATTTCCTTGTTTAAGTTGTTAGTGCTTTCATAAAACCTATAAAACCCATAAAAAGTTTTTCTTTTGTGTTTGCGTGTTACTAGTTGTCTTTGGTCATATTGCTTGATTATTAGACTAGTTAGTAATCTTTGTTAGTTGTTGATTCGTTGGTGCCTTGATAAGTTTGTTAAGTGTTGCAAGGTTAAGCAGTTTACAACATGATCGAGGGAGCAAACGGTGCACCAGTTGATCTCGCCCAAGTGCTAACAGCCATGAGGGAGGACATAAGAAACATGACCCAACAGATGGGTACCATTCGTCAAGAGTTTGGAGCTCGTCTTGAACAGATTGAAACTCAGCCGAAGAGAGCGGCTGTACGAGGCCCCCCCATACCACTAGTAGACCCGGGAGACGAGTTACAAGACACTGATGATGACAATGTTGATCCTCTCATGAGACGAGGGCAAAGGAGACAAGATCCCCTATAAAGAAACCCAAACCGCGAGGTAAATGCTAGAGATAAAAACCATGACATTAAACTAACACCTCCTAACTTTGCAGGAAAGTCTAATCCCGAGCTTTACTTGGATTGGGAGAGGCGTATGGACCACATATTCGAGTGCTATGGGTACCCTGAGCGTAAGAAAGTAGCCGTACCAGCTGCTAACCTCACGGAGAATGCACTTGCGTGGTGGGACAGAACCGTAGCCGAAAGGAGAAGGCAACGGTTTGGCCAAGTGTCTATATGGAGCGATATGAAGTATCTGCTCAAACAAAGGTATGTACCTGAGCATTATCATAGAGACTTACATAAACGTTTTCGTAAGCTTTCTCAGGGAGCAAGGAGTGTAGATGAGTACTTTGAGGAGTTTGAGAAGCTGATGAACTATTTAGAGTTAGAAGAATCGGAGGAAGCTTTAATGGCTCAATTCTTAGACGGCTTGCAAGAGAGGATTACAAGGAAGGTTGAGCGGATGCAGTACGCGGGGATGCATGAGTTACTACACTTAGCTGTGCAAGTAGAACAACAAATCAAACGAAAGAATCCCCACTTCAACCGCAGCAAACCTACTCAGCCGTGGGCGTCAAGTAGCTCAAAACCCCTAGATAAGGGAAAGGGTCTAGAGATAGACTCTCGCTTTAAGAGCAAGACTACCGAGGCCCCCAAATTCAACCGACCAGAGCAAGGTAAGTTCCCTAGTACTAATCAAAGGTCTAGAGACATAACTTGTTTCAAGTGTCAAGGCAGGGGACACATCTCAAGAGAATGCCCCAACAACCGAGTGATGATCCTCACCCCTAGCGGCGAGTTTGAATCGCAAGACGAGTTAGAAGAGGACTCGGATGGTGACGAGGGTGACATTCAATATCTTGAACGAGGAGACCTTCTAGTTACAAGGCGGGTGCTTAGCGTGCTAGTTAACCCCGAGGAGAAAGAACAAAGAGAAACCATCTTTCACACAAGATGTACAATCCAAGGAAAGGTATGTAACCTTATCATAGACGGTGGATCATGTACTAATGTAGCTAGCAAGTATATGGTGGACAGGTTAGGTCTTGAGAAGATCAGACATCCACGACCATACAAGCTAAGGTGGTTAAATGATCAAACCGAACTTAAAATCTCGGAACAAGTCGTTGTGCCATTCAGCGTGGGAAAATACTTGGACGAGGTTCTATGCGACGTGGTACCGATGCAAGCGGGACACTTACTGCTTAGGAGGCCGTGGCAGTTTGACCGAGCCGTTAACCACAACAGACGTACCAACCATTATGTCTTCATGCATAAGGACCGTAAGTTCACTCTTGCCCCACTTAGTCCAGCCGAGGTACATGAGTTGCAAAAACACATGTCTAAGGAGGTTGAGGTAAGTAAAGCTAGTCTCTATCTTTCAGCTAATGACATATCTAAAACCATGTGTGCCAAGGGCACCGTGCTACTAATGTATTTCAAAGAATGTCTAAGCGCAGGATTAGGTGACTTAGAGGTTCCACCAGAAGTACAAGCTGTACTGGACCGGTTCCAAGATGTGTTTCCCGAAGAGATACCACCGGGACTACCCCCTCTCCGGGGTATAGAACATCAAATAGATCTTGTACCAGGGTCAGCCTTACCTAACAAGCCGGCTTACAGAATGAATCCCACCGAGACTAAGGAGTTGGAGAATCAAGTAAGAGACCTAATGGAGAAGGGATACATCCGGGAGAGTCTTAGCCCCTGTGCTGTACCGGTGCTACTAGTCCCCAAGAAGGATGGAACATGGAGGATGTGTGTGGACTGCCGAGCCATCAACAACATCACCATCAAGTACCGCCACCCTATACCGCGGTTAGATGACATGTTGGACGAGCTAAGCGGTTCAACAATCTTCTCAAAGGTGGACCTCAAAAGCGGTT